GGGGCAGTCCAGCAGAGCGATGAAGGTTGAAAGAGAGGACGGTTGGGAAAATTTGCTGGGGCCTTGTCCGTAGTTGAAGGGAAGTTGTTGCCTCGGCGTCCCACCCCGTGTGGATATTTTTCCGCCGGCGTCTTAGATGTGGAGATATTTTGCAACGACCCAACTTTACCGACGACCGTCAGCGGGACGACGGCGATCTCCGGACCTCGGACGGCGTGGGAGTGGAGATGTTTGCTAATAATAATAATGAAAACGAAGTGATTACGAAGTACGAGGGAATCGGAATCCCCGTCTTTATAGGGGTTTCTGCGTGTTGTCAAAAGATTGTGACAATTCTCCCGTCTCGAGGCAGAGGTTTGCCACCGAACGAATGAAACGTGCTCACCGCTCTTTATTTTCAACCGACTTGCACCGGTTTAACTTGCTCATCATGGCAGGGGAGACAGGGGAGAGGGAAAAAAAGAAGAAGAAAAAAAACCCCTTTCCCCGGCTCCCCAGTCATGGTCACTTTTTCACTTTTTTTCTTTTTTTCTTCCCCCGCCCCCCTTTTTCGATACACTGCGGGAGCGCAACGGGCCTCTCTTCCGTCCCCGTTGTATGTAACAACTGCTGTTACTGGCCGTTCCCGGCTGATAGAGGACGAGATGGTTGCATCTGCCGGAAGAGTCCAGTCACAAAGTGGACATGCCCTGACAATACCCCGGGAGGCGGGTGTTGCATGAGCTGTTGTCTGTTGTCCGACGCGAGATCCCACCCGACGCACCCTATCTGTGAAGGGAAGAGGGCCGGATGCATCAGACCTGCGACAGGACAAAGCACTCATCTACAGAACAATCTATTGTCGCCGGCACCACCATTGATATCACCATCATGCTATATACATTATGCCTCCAACGGCCCTATAGTCCGCACATCTAGACCCTTCTCCAACTCGGCCTTTCCGGGCATCTTGCCCAGGCGCATCAACTCGACCGATTGCGACATGGCGGGATCCCGCCCCATCGAAGTCATGGCAATCACCATGTCACCCTTGCAGTAGTACGCCACGAACGCTCCCTCCTGGGGGTTCCCCTGGATGACGACGTCGTCCCAGCCGCCGACCGTGTTGCCGCAGTACCTCAGCTGCCCCGACAGGGCCGACCAGAAGACGGGGATCCACCGCTCCGGCTTCACGGAAGGGTTGATAATGTGGGCCGCCACGTTGCGGCCGGCGTTCTGCGCCACGTTCCAGTGCTCGACGCGGGTGTGCTTGCCGTCGCCGCCGGGGCCGTGGTACGGGAACGTGGCGATATCGCCCACCGCGTAGACGTCCTTGAGGCCCGTGGCGAGGAAGTGCTCGTCCGTCCTGACGGAGCCGTCCTCCTCCAGCCGGATGACGTTGTTGTTCTGCAGGAACTGCGTGGCGGGAGCGACGCCGACGCCCAGGATGACGAGGTCGGCCTCGAGCGTGGTGCCGTCCCGGAGGACGACGGCGCCGACCTTGGACGGGTCCGACGTCGAGGGCTCGGCTTTCTCGACGCCGGCGGAGAGGTAGAACGTGATGCCCTTCCCTTCCAGGCCCTTCTGCAAGCCCCTGCCCACCTCCTCGCCCAGCACGCGTTCCAGGGGCGCCTTCTCCATGCCGACGACGGTGACCGAGTTGTCGCTCGACGTGGCGTTGGCGAGCTCCAATCCGATGAACGAAGAGCCCACGATGACAATCTTCTTGCCCTTCTCGCCGATGGCTTCGACGATCTTCTTGGCGTCGTGGACGGTGCGGAGGGTGAAGATATTCCCCAGCACCTTGAAGCCCTGCAGCGGCAACACGCGGGGCGTCCCGCCGGTGGCGAGGATCAGCTTGTCGTACGGATACTTCTCGCCGGTCCGCGTCGTCACGACCCGCCCGGAAAAGTCGACATCGGTGACCTCGCCGTCGACCATGTCGACAGACCCGCTCTCGTACCAGGCCCTGTCCCTCCACTGCAGCTTCTGGAGGTCGGTCAGGAGAGCTTTGGAGAGCTTGGGGCGGTCGATGGGGAGATAGCCCTCGCGGGAGATGATGGTGATGGGACCGGAGAATCCGCCGTTGCGGAGGCCCTCGACGGCCCCGAGGGCGCCCGAACCGCCTCCCACGATGACGACCTTGTCACCGCCGCCGCCGGTTGAGGTTGGGCGTTGGCACTTGAAGTTGGGCTTGCGGTGGCTGCTCTTGATGGCGGACTCCTCGCCCGTCACGTACACGGCACCGTCTCGTTCAGCGACTTTGAAAACGGGGAGCGCATCCAGCGCCGGGGCGTCCTCGACGTCACCCGTCTTGGCATTGAAGCAGGCTAGTGGTAGGGGCGGTAGTCAGCGAGGGAGACGCCCTTGTTGGGTGAGAAAGAGGAAGCAGACAAGAATGGGATTTACCTCCGTGCCAGGGGCAGGTCAACCTGCCCGTGGTGGTCAAGACACCCTTAACTAGTGGCGCACCGTAGTGAGTGCATCGGGAACCGAGGGCTTGGATGGTTCCGCCGGCATTGACGAGGAGGACCTTGCCTCCTTCAATACCTTCCACCTCGACCTCCTGCTTCTCTCCTGGTTGTAGGGAGGAGAGGGACGACACCAACTTGAGTTTGTATTCTGCGGGCGCCATGACGTGAGAGCTATATGCGAAGCCCCTCCTGTGTGATAAGAATGCGAGGCGTTGGAGTCTTCGGGGTGTGAAGAGGGATCGGAGGGATTGCATAAAGGCTGGACAGGACGGAGCAAGAGAAACGGCGGATGGGGACTGAGGTACCCCTGATGAATATAATGTGAGAAGGGCGAGGAGGGCGAGAAGGGTGAGGAGGGTGAGGGTGAGGAGGGGTAGTGGGAGGAGATGCAGTGACTTGACGGTATTTAAGGTACTATTGGATGATTGGATGGTGCGATACCTTCCAGGTACAATGTCATACGAATGCTTTAGTGTACATGAATTCTCAACGACGGGAGAGTACGTTGTACGTGTATTTGGGGGAGGAGCGTTTGCAAGATTGGATGCCACTCAATCCCGTCCTGTGACGACATGTTCGTTAGCTTCGCGACGAGGTACTTTGTACATCCATCGGACAGCGTACAGTATCCGTACCGGGTACATGTACCAAGTGACCGTGTATGCTGTGCTGTGCTGTGCTGTGGAGCCCAGCTTAGCTAATTGACACTGTGAAGTTGTACATAAATGTACTGTGTGAACCGCTGTCAGCGCTTGGCCCAGGTCGACATCCCAAATGTATTCTCCCGAGCAACCAACCTCCCGACGCCGAGGCCGATAATCTAAGGTACACTACCTAGGTACCAACCTTACCTACCTGTACATGTATTTTCAAACATCCCGAGCGCCAGCACGACCATGGCATTGAACTGCAAGGTAGGGATAAGGGAAGCAACTCTTCCTCACGTTACCGTCGAGTTTATAAGGGGATTATTTCTGAGGTATCTTGGTGCAATTTTGGCCTGGGCATATCGCATTTATTAAGGTATAGGTACTTTCTCGATGAAGCATCCGTAGGTCGCATGATGTTTCGGGCATGGTAAGTCATGAGGCGTTTGTTTTATGCGTCGCGTCGTCTCTGCATGAGCGCTCGGGATAAAGGCTGGATGACAAATCGGTCTGAGGACTGGCAAAATCAGGGTCGCGGCACCCCGCGACAATTGCCGAGACGGTGTGGAGGTAGGTACCTTATTAGGTACCCCCATACTGTAGTGCGTGTACTCTGTACACTAATTACTCCAGGTGCCGTAACCACCTCGGTGCGGACGTGACAAAATGCATCATCTACTTGGACAAGGTGCTTGGCAGGCATTTGGGCTGGATATATTCAGACTCAAGTCATGACCTTCTATATTATAATATGAATGCCCCATCCCAAAACTCCTAATTTTTTTCTTGACGTCTTGTTTCTCGTTTGAATACTCTCGCTCCGTTACATCAAATTTACAGCTCGTCCTTGCCCTCGTCGGCCGCCTCAGCGCCGCCCTCCTTCTGCTTCAGGACCTGAGCCTTGATGGTGATCTCAATCTGCCTCCGCTTCTCCCTGACGCTAGGCCGGGTGTGGTTGATGGGCCAGGCGACGACGGCTCCGTCCTTGGGTTCGGGGGAGTACTTGCTAAGATCCAGGAGCGCGTCTAAAGGAAAGGGAATGCGGCGTTAGCAATGTTGAATCACGAATGAAGCCCTACGGGGCTGGGAACGGTTGGTACGAGTTGGGGGGGGGGGGTGACAAGGGGAACCAAAAACCGTACCTTTGCAGTCGCTCGACTCGGCGACAAACAAGGGGAGGATCTCGTACAACGCCCCCGGCGCGAAGAGGATGACCTTATCCTTGTCCTCCTCGCGGTCGACCACACCGTCCTTGGGAGCGACCCACCGCGCGTCGACCTTGGTGTGCTTGTCCTTGGGCTTCTTGAACGTGGCAAAGAGGCCCTGGTGCTTGCTCTCGGTGCGGTCCTGCTCCTCGATCCACTCCCGCACCTGGACCGGCACGCCGTCGTAGTGCATGAGGAGCACGTTGCGGTCCCAGCCGTGGCGGTCCAGTCCCGAGAAGCCGCCCGGGTACTCCCGCTCCGAGAAGAAATCCTTCAGCGCCTCCGAGTACGACCACAGGCCCAGCGGGTGCTTGTCGAACAGCTGATGCAGCGTGTACTGCTCCGCGTTGAACACCCCGGTCACCTCGCACGCGGCGTCGAAGCTGTCCGTCGTCTTGGCTGTGAACGGATCCCGCCAGGCAAAGTCCTCCACAATCGTCGCCTTGGCCTTGTCCATGGGGTTGGGCGCGCGCGGGTTGCCGATCTGCGCCGCAGCCGGCGCGGCCGACAGGGCAGAGAGGAGGAGGGCGATCGCCTGGTACTTCATGGCTGCTGGTTGTGCGGGTGGGTCGTGGAAAAAGGTTGCGAGAACAAGATGTGAAGAGTGGTGAGGAGAACGGCAACGGATCCTACCGATCTTCAACCGAGAAGCTCTTCTCTTCACCCAAAGGAGGAAAAGAGAGAAAGAGGCGAGAGACGAAGGAAGAGTGGATTGGAAAAAAAAGGGAAAAAGAAGCTGTGTTTAAGGGGGAAGGGGAAGAGAGAGTCCAGGGGCATTACGCCCGAGCACTTCATGCGCCCTCGCCATTGATATATGGCAGCTCCATTGCGTGCAGACTCTGGAAAGTGCCTCGTTGTCCTTTGCGGACACTTCTTCCGCATTGCCAGATTTGATCGAATTGGAGAATATCAAAAGTCGGCTCCAGGCAAATAACTCCGTGACAGGATGGGGTCTGGGTTACACTAGTCCCGAGGGTCCAGCAGGGGTTCCCCACTATGCCCCTGTCACAGGTCACAGGTCACCCCAGTCCCCGCATTATGTCAGCCAGCCCCTCACACGTGCTCTTTCTCGTGGTCCGAAAGTCACTTTCGTAGTACTTTAAGGTAAGGTACTCCAAGATGCCAGATACCTTAAGATACTGACTTACGCTGAATCCGTTGTCGTCACGTCATGAACTGAACGAAACGGAGACGTCTGACGGATATGGACGGGTACAACTCCTCATATCCGTATCCGTACACTGTAGATGTACAACGTTGTTTCGATGATGACGTCGTCCAATAGCTGGGCTTGGGCTTCTCGATTGGCTGCAAAAGTACCGAACTGGGAAGTATCTTAAACAGACTGACGCCTCAAAACCGTCATCCGTCCACGATGTCGTCCAGTCCATTGTGTCCGTTCTCAACTATGACGTGCTGTTCTGGCCTCCATCAGAGGGAGACTTGTGTGATGTTTGGGTGTTTATCCTTACATCTATCTACTCGTCCTTATATCTCCTGATATCTACTGCACCATGGCAAATGTGCATACATTAAACTAACAACCTAAACATTCAACAATCAGCGTTAATGTTCCCAACCCGAATCAGAAGTACGAGTCCGTATTAATCAAGCTTAATATCAAGCCTTCGCAGCTCCCAATATCTCCAGCCATGGCTATGTCACAAGCAGCCCACGCCGTGGAAAAAGCCACGGGACACCAAGGCGACGCCATCACAGCGCAAGACGTCGCAAACTACACCAAGACCGGGAATGCGTCGCAAACCATGAAGGCCCTCGTCTGGCAGGGCAAGAACACCGTCAAAGTCGTCGACACCCCGCGGCCCAACATCCTGGAGGACCGCGACGTCATCCTCCGCGTCACCGGCAGCACAATCTGCGGCTCCGATCTGCATCTATACCACGGATCCATTCTTCAGATGGCCAAGGGCGATATCATGGGTCATGAATTCTGCGGCGTCGTGGACGAGATCGGGCCCGGGGTGAAGGGAATCAAGAAGGGCGGCCGCTATGTCGCCTCGTTCCAGATTGCTTGTGGAGATGTCAGTTTCCCTTGTCTGCTTGTCTTCCCGCCTCGCTCAAACCCTTCTCTTTACTGCTCAACCGCTGACAAAAGTGGGTGGCACCATCAGTGTTTCTACTGCCGGCAAAAGCTCTCCTCGCAATGTGAAAAGACAAACTCCAACACCCAAGCCAAGGCCCTCTACGGGACACAAACATCCGGCATGCTGGGCTACAGCCACTTCACCGGCGGCTTCGCCGGCGGCCAGGCCGAGTACGTCCGCGTGCCCCTGGGCGACGTGAACCTCCTCGAGATCCCGGACAACGTCCCCGACGAGCAGGCCCTGTACCTGTCCGACGTGCTCCCGACCGCCTACAACGCCGTCAAGGACACGGCCGTCTACGAGGGGGATTCGGTCGCCGTCTTCGGCGCCGGCCCCATCGGCCAGATGGCCGGCTACTTCGCCCTGGGCGAGGGCGCCAAGCAGGTCATCTTCGTCGACACGGAGCCGCGGCTGAGCTTCGTCTCCTCGCGGTGGCCCGCCGCGCACATGGACAAGCTGGTCCTGGTCGACTACAAGCAGCTCTCCCACGGCCTGACGAACCGCGAGACCGTCGTCTCCCGCCTCAAGCAGCTGACCGAGGGCCGCGGGCCCGACGTCGCCATCGAGTGCGTGGCCGGCGAGTACGCCAAGGGCTGGCTCCACTGGATCGAGATGCAGCTGGGCGCCGAGACCGACACGAGCGAGATCCTCAACGAGATGATCGAGGGCGTGCGCAACTTCGGCCGCTGCGGCGTCACCGGCGCCTATGTCGGCTATACCAACCACTTCAACATCGGCTCCCTCATGGAGCGCGGCATCCGCTTGATCGGCAACGGTCAGGCCCCCGTGCACAAGTACTGGGAGGAGCTGCGGTCCAGGCTTGAAAAGGGCGAGCTGGACGTCTACCAAATGCTCTCGCACCGCGTGCGACTCGAAGACATGGACAAGGTGTATACCAAGTACGATCAGCGGGAGGACGCCATGCAAAAGATCTTCGTTGAGACAAAGTGGTCGTTCCCGAGGGCGGAGGGTACTCCTGTCTTGACGGAATACTGAGTCGTGCCTGTGTTATTAGGGGAAGGGGTCAAGGGGACAAGGGGTCAAGGGGAAGAAAACGATCCGCCATGCCATGATGGTATGCTGTAAGAGATAACAAAATTGTGCGATATGTATTCATGTCGTAAATTGCTGCAGTGATATGAAGAGAATGAATATCCCATGCCGATGACCAGACGAAAAATGCCAAATTGGTGGAATGCTGAAAAGACAAGTTTGACAACCAACTCGCTCCAATGAGGCAAATGCATGCATTGTAAAAAAAAGAAGAAAAAAAGAAAAAAAATTGCAACGAACAGTAAAGGGTATCTCCAGATCTCGAGGCCTCCCAAGATATCCTTCCCGACACCCCCCAAACGCCAGAACAAAGCGTGAAATCCAAAATAGAATAAGATGATAATAGAAAAATAAGACAAAGAAAATGAATAAAGAAAATAAATAAAAGGGGGGATAATATGGAGCCGAACGGTTGCTTCTCGAGTGTCAGTTCCGACCTGTCTGTCATCCCTTTGATTCTTCTAGACTTTCGCGCAATGCGTCAATATCCACCATGTCTGGCAGCACCTTGCTTGGAACAGGGTATTGGTGAGAGGCCAGATATTCTTGCAAACCAGGGATAGCACCGGGCTGGTTGATTCCCGGGACACGCTGCAATACGCCGCTCTCCTTGTCCGGCTTTTTGGTCGAGGAAACAGTACCATCCGTGTTGCTTGGACTGCCGCCGCCCCGCCATGGCCGCCAGCTGACCCAGCGTCCCAGCTTGCCCGAGGAATCATCCGTTGCGCTTGACGGAGATAAGCTCCTGGCAGGCGTCGAGGCTGCAGGGAGTGCGGCGAGGCTATCGCGGAGCACACTTGCACTTCGCTTCGTGGTTACCCGGGATATGGTGGACGATGCGGTGACGCCCGTGAAGACGACCTCCGCACCACCCAGGGGGCGTAGGGTGAGCTGGCTCGGCCGAGATCTGAGGGTGTGAATGTCCAGACCGCCAGTGAGGGACATGATGGATTCGTGGGAGTAGACGCGACGGAGACGCGGCGTTGATGAATCGTCAAGGTCTGGTAGCGGTAATGCCTGTTCTTCCGACTGCGACTCGTTCGCTGGTGGTGTTGGAATTTGTGCTATATCGGGGTCTGTTTCATCCTCGTGATTTTCCTCCGCGATGGGCTCGGGTGTTGCTGGTTGGAGGCAGGAATGCAGCGACGGAAGCTGAGGCGCAGGAATCAAGTGGCTCGGCAACGACACGCTCCTGTTTGACGCTTCAGACGGACGCTTGACATGGCCTGTCCTGACGAAAGTCGGCGACATGGGATCAATGCTGGTTGTCGGGGAGCTGGGGACGTCGGTGTCTGGGACTCTGTCAAACACCGAGTACCCATGCGCTGAGGGTGGTGAGCTCGGCACCGAGGAAGCTGTCATATCAGACGGCGGATCGGAAAAAAGTGACCACCTGTTGGATGGCGGCCGTGGAAATGTGGAGGCTGAATCGCGGTGGGAATGCGATACGACTGAGGGAGCTGATGATCCAGGGAGACTGAATGCGCTGGATGTGACATGTCCACGTCTCCTTCTGGGCCTCCGGGGCTCGGCTTTCTGAGACACATGGTAGTGGTGATGGATATGGAACTCTTGTGAAAGTCTTGTCGTGGGCATCCCATCATAGTAGTTATCATGCTGCTGTGATGGTTGGAGTTCGGCGCGAAGGGTTGATACGGTGCTGGACATGATGTCTTCTTCAGCAACAGGTTGGTGGTGCATGAGCTGGTAGCGCAGTGCCTGGATCTCGTCGTTGGAGTTGTTCAGCATCTCACGCAGCTCGGCCATGCCCAGCTGCAGATTCGCGTTATCTTGGAGCAGGTCCCTAAGGAAGTGCGACACGACGCTGCCACCATTGTTACCCTTGTCGAGGGCCTTGGCGGCGGCAGCACCTTTGAGTCGGCCAGCAGCGGTATTGAGTTCAACCTCCCTCTGACGTTGGCGCTCCATGCGACTCATAGCCTCGACGTGGCGTTCCCTTTCATCCCTGGCTTCCTTTTCCATGCGTTCCAGTTGGCCTTGCAGTTCGGTGATGCCTCGCTCTGCCCTTTTCCAGCGCTGCATGGTCGACCGGGCTTCGGATTCCGTGGCGATCAGATTATTCTGCAGTTGCGCCTGTTCCCTCTCGAGCAAAGCGACATGACGCTCCAGTGCCTCTGCACGAGCAGCGGCGCCTTCGAGCCGGCGAACAGCCTGTTGGGAAGATAGCAACGTGGCTTCGAGGGTCTGGATGCGAACATCGGCGTGGTGAATCGTGGTATTCAGAGCCTCCAACTGATCCAGCAAGACGCGGTTCTCCTCGGCAGTACGCGTGTTTTCGGCCTGCAGTTCTCGTTTATCCATCTCGAGCTGCTCGATCCGGGCAGTGAGGTCTTGGTGGTCGCGCTCGGCATCGGCCATATAGGCCTCGTGCCGGGCGAGGAGCGCCTGTAGGGAAAAAATCAGCGAGTTGGTCATAGCGAGCACCCAAAGCCGCAGGATGAGAGAATGTGATGCACCACGAGCGGGCCATGGGAAGTGCTTCAAGTGTTTATCTCCCCGATCGAAAACTGGGAAACAAAGGACGCGCAGGGAGAGAAAAAAAGGAAGAAAAAAAAGGCGTCGAAGAAGCAGCATAGCATTATTTCCCGACTCCACAAGGTGGTCCCGAGGAATGTTGTCTGCAGTTCCGGACAAAGGAAACAAAAGGAAAACGGCTGGAATGCAAGATGGCTGAAAGGCAACACACCTGACCAAGTTTAGCGGCAGTATGAACATCTCTTTCAACGCTGTCGAGGACGGATTGGTTATGGCTGAGAAAGACGCACTCGTCGTGTCCGCAGCAGCATCGGAGAGGAGGCGGTGGGAGAAGAGGGTTGCTGGCGACCGCTGGCGGAATGAGGTCTGCCAATGCATGGCCGCGAGGACGAGGTATGGCCATGGCGGGACGTGTGTGTGTGTGTGTGTGTGTGTGTTATCGACACGACGAGGGAAAAGGGGGCTTCGTGTGGTGCACCATGCTGTCTCGCGCGAAAACGAAAAAACGTGGCCGGACTCGGACCGGAATATATCGCAAGCGGGTCGAGCTCGGTTCGACGTAGGGTGGTTTTCGTGTCGGTGTGAAGATTTTCTTTCACACAAGGCTCGTCTGTGGTTGGGGTTTCCTGATCACGACTCGCGCGACTCGACGAGGTGGAGTTGTGCCAGCGATTTACAGGCGGTTTGCAGGTGAGACAGGGATCCCTGCCACCGACCAGCTAAAGAGGTGGGGCTGCCGGTGATCCAAGGATGAGGAAAGGGGAGGAATCATGTAGACGCGTTAGTTGTTTGGATATACCTAATAAATGAAGAAAGGGAATGAATTAATCGCGAGATTTAAGAGAAAGGTAGCTATGTTCGACCAGGTGAGAGAGAAAGAGAGTATATGACTGTGTAGGGCGGGAGCGGGGGAGAGAGAGAGAGGAAGGAAGAGGTACGTCCACCAAGTACAGAGCAAGAACTGGTTCACCGGCCCGTTTTGGAGTGTGCTTGCCTCAGACAATCTGTGTCGGTAAGGAACACCCAAGACTTAGGTACCCACAATGCATGCAGATGTACATGTACTTTGCCTGCATCTCACAGGCCACAGCCAACATACCTCCTCCTAGCAACGTTTTTAGTCGTCGAAGCTGTTCTCAGCTTATAAGAAACGGCTTTAGATATGTTCCTAATGTCTTTGAATAGGGAAACAGTAGGTCAGAAATAGAGCGGGATTCCTCGAATAAGATTCGAGGTCCTCTAGGAACAAGGAATACCTACCTGGTACATATCTACCTAATGGGACATTTGTCGACCAATGGATAGTACATGTACGTGACAATGACAGCATGGTACATATAAACGACCACCAACCACCGAATTCACCAAGTTGGCCACCTTACCCACTGAATGGATGGATAAGGTTAGATACCTACCTTACGTATCCGTATGGCAACGACTCGTCTTGAACTCGTTACTAAGGTACTTACCTGTTGTATTGATATGTCTTTCTTCGTCTTTGGCTCAGCAAAACATCCCTTTTTCTGTACGGTTGCATAGACTAAGGTCGGTACCTTAGGTACTTAAAGGTACATGATAAGATTACCAAGGTACCTACGACCGATTCATCTGCCAATGGCTCGGGCAACTGACAACATCACAGGTTCGCGGTCAACCTGTCAACAACTTCACATATCTCGCCAAGATATATCCTTCACGCTGGAAGTGAATCGGACACTCGTTTTTCTGGTCTCTTCTTCGGGCCAGGGACCGCGCCGTCCAACTCGAGCATTGAGTCGGCCACGAAGACCCAACCAATACACCACCGATGAACCACTTTCAAGTCGCACCCTCATCCCTACACCCGTGGAGACGAAGATGAAGAAGACGCAATCTAACCCTGACAAGAAACGAGATGGTAAACAACCCGCTATGCCGTCGCCCTCTTCCTCAAGCTCTACTCCCCACAGAGCAACCGAAAAGGCCGCCGTCCGGGGCGCCTCGCTTCTCATCTCTCTTCAGATTGCGTCCCGTGCCGTGACCTTCATCGCCAACCAGCTCCTTCTCCGCTATCTGACCGCTTCTCTCCTGGGCTTATCCGCCCAACTCGAGGTGTATTACCTATCCGTCCTCTTCTTTGCCAGGGAAAGCCTGCGCGTCGCCGTTCAGCGTCAGAAGACGACCACTTCCGGCCCAAACACCGCAGCGTCAGACGCCAGACGCACCATCGGGACGAGTTATCAGGCCGTTGTCAACCTGGGCTATCTGGCCGTCCTTCTCGGCGCCTTCGTCGCTCCGGGTCTTGCCGCTCTGTACCTCTCCTCTGTGGATGACTCCATCTTCGCCTCGACCCCATATTTCCTTCTCTCGCTCCGCATCTACGCCATCGCCGCCATCCTGGAACTCCTGTCCGAGCCCGTCTTCGTCCTACTGCAGGTCCGCTTGCAGTTCGGCCCACGCGCCACCGCCGAATCCCTTTCCACTTTTTTCCGCTGCGTCGTCACACTCGGCAGCGCCGTAGTCTCCTCCCGTGCCGGCCTCGACCTGGGGCCTCTCCCCTTCGCCCTTGGTCAGCTGGCCTACGGCCTTGGCCTCCTCCTGGTCTACTTATGGGTTGGCGCCGGCCTTGCCTCCGCCGATGATTTCTCCCTGCTTCCCCGGAAGCTGACCAACCTCGACACCGCGGCCAAAGACCACTACCTCTGGTCTTTTTTCTACCGTCCCACCGTCAGCCTCGCCTCCAGCATGATGGCCCAGAGCCTCGTCAAGCACGTCCTGACCCAAGGCGATACCTTCCTCGTCTCCATCCTCTCCACCCCGCAGGCCCAGGGCGTCTACGCCCTCGCCAACAATTACGGAGGCCTGCTGGCGCGTCTGGTCTTCCAGCCCATCGAGGAAAGCAGTCGTTCCTACTTTAGCCGCCTCCTCTCCTCTCAGGAGGGAAAAGCCAAAGAGGAAGGCGGAGCAGAGTCCTCCTCCTCCAACACGGCTAGCAAGTCCACCCTTGCCTCGCCATCCAAAGAGGCGGTGCGTACAGCCGCCCAACACCTCCACATCGTATTCAAACTCTACGTCCTTCTTTCTACCGTCATCGTCAGCGTCGGGCCCATCGCCGCCCCTCCCCTCCTCTCGCTGATCGCAGGCCGCCGCTGGGCCAGCGAAGGGGCGGGCGACGTCCTCGCCACGTATTGCTATTACATCCCACTACTAGCCCTCAACGGGGTCGCCGAGGCCTTCGTCGCCTCCGTCGCCTCCGAGGCCCAAGTCCATCGCCAATCCGCCTGGATGGGCGCCTTCTCCCTCGCCTTTGCCGCCGCCGGCTTCCTCTTCCTCCGCGTGCTCGGTCTCGGTGCCGCCGGCCTCGTCTACGCCAACTGCATCAACATGGCATGCCGCATCATCTGGAGCTTGGCTTTCATTGGTTCCTCCTTCGCCGAGCAGAACGTGCCCTTCTCCGTCTCCTCGCTACGGCCCTCCCCGATAGGTGGTGTTGTCATGTTTGTGGCGCCGCAGCTCATTAGGAATGTCACGGGAGTCACTTCTCGGAGCGCTGGTGGCTTGGGAGACGTTGTGAAGGTGGCGGTGGCGGCCGTTCCATTCGTTCTTCTTGTGTAAGTTGCATTCACGGGCCCCCCTTTTCCTTTCTCTTCTATGTACGAAAACGGAATGCATTTTGACAACTGACAAAATCCACAAGACTATTCGGCGAGCGCCGAATCATCCTCCAATGTTACGAGTATGTCAGAAAGGGAAAAACACCATGATTTTACGCTGAGGTTATGAGTTGTTAACAAAGGCCCATGGTGTAGATTTGAGACGGCCAGGAAAGTTCTGTTCTCATCCGTTCATCCCTTAGATACCCCCAATCATCAATCGAAAACGATCTTCGTAGCCTTCTTCGTCATGTCCACGTCCTTGAAGAATGCGCCGTAGGTGTCATGTGCCTTCTTCTTGACGGTGGTACCGAACTTGAACAGCTCATCAGGCACAGGCTGGTTTGCTCCTTTGAGAATGTTGATCAACCTAGAAGTAAAGCCCGCTGTTAGGACCCGAATGCGTACGATTGGGAATTTGGCGGGGAAGAAGGGGGAAAAAAGAAGAAGGAAAAAAAAAGAAAAAAAAAGGAGAGAAGACTACTTACGAGCCAGAATGCGCCTTGTCTTGTTGCGTGAAGAACGTGATAGCTTCGCCTGTCTTGCCCGCGCGACCAGTCCGGCCGATGCGGTGGACATAATCCTCAATGGTCAACGGGAACGTGACGTTCACGACGAGCTTCACCTCAGGGATATCCAACCCACGCGCGGCCACGTCCGTGGCAACCAGCACGGGCGTAGAACCCGACTTGAAGGCCTCGAGACTCCTGGTTCTCTGATCCTGTCTCAGGTCACCGTGGATGCCGCATACACTGACGCCGCGCTGCTGCAGGAAATTCTCCACGCGGGTAGCTTCCTTCTTGTACAGGCAGAAGACCAAGATGCGATCGTCCTTGGCCGCGCCGTGGTGGTACTTCTTGAGAATCTGCAGGAGACGCTGCTCCTTGCTGCGCGAGTCGAGGACCTCCACGTGCTGCGTGATGCGGGAGTTGGCCTGCAGCTCCACGGCGCCATTCGCCGTCTCCTTGCCGCTCGACCCGATCGTGATCTTGACCGGGTCGACCATGAAGGTGGCCGCCAGCGTACGCACGGACGCGGGCCAGGTCGCCGTGAACATGAGCGTCTGGCGGGCCTCCCGCGGGGCCATGGAGCCGAGGATGTCCTTGATGTCGTCCTCGAACCCCTTGTCCAGCATGCGGTCGGCCTCGTCCAGGACGGCGAAACGGGCGTCCGCCAGCGAGATGGTGCCGTCGGACATGAAGTCCCGGAGCCGTCCGGGCGTCGCGATGATGATATCGGCGCCCTTGCGGAGGGCGGTGCGCTGCTCGTCCTTGGAGGCGCCGCCGTAGATGCACACGCACTTGAGACCTACGTGGGACGCCAGCTGGACGGTCTGCTCGTGCGTCTGCATGGCCAGTTCGCGGGTCGGAGAGACGACGACGGCTTTGATGGAGCGGTTCTTGATTTTCAGGATGCTCTCGACGCAGGGGAGCGCAAAGGCCATGGTCTTGCCGGAGCCGGTCTCCGCGACGCCGATTACATCGCGCCCGGACAGGGTAAAGGGCCACGAGGCAGCCTGAATGGGCGTCGGAGTCTTGTACGCCGCGAAGGGTGACTTGCGAAGGAGATCGGTGGACGGAAGGTGCTCGAAGCCCAAGACTGGCCGAGGAGATGGGGACGTGTTGTGGGGATCGTCGATGGAGATGGATTGTTCGGCCAGGAAGGCGTCGATGACGGATTGAGGAAGCGCCGACAGAGATGGGGTTTGTTTGTAAGCGCCGTTGTGTGCCTGCGTCCCGTTTTGTGCTGGAGATCCTTCGGTATCTCCTCCATTCGCCTTAGAGGTTGTGGCCTCGCTCTTCTCGCTCTTATCCTTCTTTGCCTTTTTCTTTTTCTCCTTCTTTTCCTTCTTCTCCTCCGAACGTTCTTTCTCGGGGTGTTCTTCTGTGTTAGATATATCCTTAGGAGAAGCTTCCTGACCCTGTTTCTGCTCTTCCTCCTGTCTCTTCTTTTCGCGCTTCGCCTCCTTTCTCTTCTTCTTCTCCTCCTCCTTTTCCTTTCTCCTCTCCTCCTTATCCTTCGAATCTCCTCCCTCCTCTCGCTTTTCTTTATTTTCTTTCTTCTCTTTCTTTTCCTTCTTCTTCTGCTTCTTTTCTATATTCGTAGCAGCAGCACCATCGTCTTTCTCGCTCACAGAAGACGCCTTTGAGACTTTCTGTTTCTTGCTGGGTCCCGCGACGTCACCACCCGCGTCGCGGTCGGATACTAACCGCTTTGTCGCCGCCATTGTCGTATCTATATACAAGACTGAAGAAACCGGTCAATGACAGTTGCAATGCAGAATCAAGAAGGCGTGGTTAGAGGTGGGAGCGGTGTTGGAGGTGTCATGTACGGAGTTACCTCAGTTCCCTACCCAGGGCGTTAGACCGATGGGAGGATGGAAAAAATTGCCCAAAAAAAATTATCTTATCGATAAAGCGTTGGGAAGAACCTGATCACTGCCACCCCGTTTATTGGATCTAACCAAAACAGGAAATAGCAGGAAGAAAAGCTTTCGGGTCCCTGGAATCGTGGAAGTTCCAATTCTTCGAGAAACGAAGTTTAATATAACCACCTACCTAAGGTAGGTAGGTATTAACAATGACATCCAGGGGATATTTCTCTACTATAATGCCCTCATCCACTTCAGCCCAAAAGCACTCGGTCGAAAGTTGGACGGCGAGTCTAAGGTACGTACCTAGGTACTCATACATCAACTCTACCTTGCCGCCATTACTAATCCAAGGAGAGACGAGACAAGACTGAGCCCTATTAGATCCAGACACAATGAGAGCCCGAATAACATTTGCAAGGCTGTTATCTTCTGTGATTCTTCATGTTAAGATCCTAGTTCTCTTTAGCTCTAGCGTACCTTCTGATCTCTACCTAGGTGCAAATAAGTCGCTTGCTAGTCTGGTCTTACAAAGAAACCAATATAAAAACTCCGTCTACTCCAGTAAACGCCTAGCTAGCCACAATCTGGGAACACCGAAGAGCCCACCCACAGAGGCCTTGCCAATTGGCAGCTTGGTAAAGGCTGGTAGACGCCTCCTCAAACTAGCATGATATGTACCTTATTATGCCTTGGGATACATCTCATTGACCCCCAGGCTGACAATCGGCTTTGGCGCCATCGCAAAGAAATTTCATTGTGTGAGGGACTCTTGAGTGGCTTCCAAATGACCCCTCCTCCAAGAACACACGTCGTAAGAGAAGAGCCCATTGGTACCTTGGGTTGCTAGACCCCGACGCTGGCCCCACGCCTTTCCACGAAGCGTATTGTGCTCCTGCTGCGGCTGCGGTGCCGCGGGGCGGGGGTGGCGAGGGCTGGTGAGAGCCCGCTTTCCGACTTCCGTCTCTCAAGGTCACCCGACGGTCTTGGTTCCGGGTACTCGTCGCGCCAGTCGGGTAGCTGGGAGTTGTTGAAGACGGGCCGCGAGAAGCGATTGTAGGCAATGAACGTCTCCTTGTCGCCCTCGACGGCGTTGGGCGGCGCAGCGACGTGGATCGACTTCCGCCGCATCTCCACGGCATCGTCCTGGATCGGCTGCACGCCCATCCAGTTGTAGGTTCGTTCGAGGAGGGGGATCGACAGGCCGTGGACAACAATAGAGAAGAAGGCGAGCCAGTACACAACAGGGCCCATGGCGCGCAGCAAGTCATTGACCTCCGTGTCGTTGGTCTCGTCGAGCCTGGGGAACACATGTCGGGTGTGCTCGATGTAAAAGGCTGCGCCCACGCCGATGGGGCCAAAGTAGCCCACGAACAAGGCCTCTTTCCAGGTCCGGATGGAGTGCGGCATCAGCTTGTACGTGAGCATGATGGCTGGAATTCGGCGGAAAATGAGGACGAGAAAACCCAGCCCGACGAGGCGACCATATGTGATGCCGGTAGCTTCAGACTGAAAATCGTTCCAGGGGAAAATGCTGCCCAGATAGATAAAGCCGCCAAAGTTGAGGAGCACATCAATACTGGAGTTGACTTCGTCGTGCCGCTTAAGCGTTTCAGCCAAATACTCTCCATCCCAGTTAAGTGCGCTGCCAGCAGCGAAAGCGGCAATCAGATCATTGCTGCCAAAGAGGCCAGCACTGCCAATGCAGAAGAGCTAGAGCGAGGAAGGAGCAAAGTGTCAGCCACAAGCTTTGGGCACGAAAGGCACAGGACAGCTGTGCTCCAGGGAATGAATTGGGGGGG